CAGGTGGCCTTGTTTTGGTAGACATTGACATGCTAATATTAAAATTTATATAGAAACGCAAAGGATCAAGGCTGCCAAACAATTTCTAACGTTGGAAGCCTTACACTTGATTTCTATAAAGCTAAAAGGATCAAGACACATAAAATCAGCATAAAGACAGGCACATAGGCCAATGGAACAGAGAAGACAAACCCTCGCAAATATGATCAGTTGAGGTGTTTTTTTATAAAGGCGCTAAGTCAACTCAATAGGGAATCAATATGTTTTCAACAAATGATACTGGAAAAATTGGTTATCCAGATGCAAAAAATAATGTAAACCCTTCATACCACACACAAAAATTAATGCAAAATGAATAGACTTATACGTGGGAGCTGAAATGCTTCTAGAAGAAACATAGGAGAAATTATTTGGGTTAGGCAAAGATATATATATATATTTTTTATCCTCACCAGAAGATATTCTTTTGATTGCTTCACAGAAAGAGTAGAAGGAGGGAGGGAGGAAGGCAGGGAGGGAGGGAGGGAAAGGGAGAGACAGAAACATCAACTGATTGCCTCCCAATCAAGGAGCTATCAGATCCAGGTACGTGCCCTTGACCGGGAACCAAACCCACTGCCCTTCTAACTGCTGAGTATCACCAGCCAAGACATGATACCAAAAGCATATACGTGAAAGAAAATTGATAAACTAGGCGTTAACAATATTAAATACATTTGCTCTTTAAATAATGCCACAAGAAAAATAAAAATGCCCAAGTTGAGGCCTCAATCCCCAGTAGGAGGCGTGCAGGAGGCAGCCTGCCATGCTTCTCTCCCATCATTGATGTTTCTCTCTCTCCCTCTCTCTCTGAAATCAATAAATATATATTTTAAAAAAATAAAAGACAAACACGATTAACTTTTAAAAGGAAGTTAAACATAAGGCCACGCTTCCATTCTTAGAGAAACATGTCCACATGAGGCTTGCAGACTAATATGTGTCACAGTATTTATTATTTCTAACAGGCAAAGCCTTCTAGGAACAATGCAAACATCCCTCCACCAATTGGCAAATGGATCAAGAAAATGTCAGAAATCCAGACAATGGACTACTGTTCATAAAAAGGGACAAACTACTGATTCAGGCAACAACATGGATACACCTCCACAGTGTTATGCTAAGTGTAAGAAGCTAGACAGAAAAAGACAGATTGTATGTATTCGGTTTGTTACTGTAACAAAGCACCACAAACTTAGTAGCTTAAAACAGCACATTTACTTTCTTACACTTTTTAAAAAAATCTTTATTGTTGAAAGTATTACATAGGTCCTCGTTTCCGCCCCCACAACTCCCTAATCTCTTCTAGTCCCCTCCCATGCTCCTCCTCCACCCCCACCCATATCACCACCCTTTTCTTACATTTCTCTAAGTCAGAGACTTTCAGTGTCTGGTGGCTAAGATCCAGGTGTTAGGACAGATGTTTGTTTTTTAAATATATATATATTTATTTATTTTAGTGATTTCAGAGAGGAAGGGAGAGGGAGAGCAAGAATCATTACTGATGAGAGAGAATTATGGATCCGTTGCCTCCTACATGCCCCACACTGGGGATCGAACCCACAACCCAGGTATATGCCCTGACCCAGAACTAAACCTTGACCGCCTGGCTCATAGGTCAATGCTCAACCACTGAGCCACACCAGCCAAGCCAAAATATTAATTATTGATGTGACTCTAGTTAGGAGGTAAATGGTCATTGTACCATTCATTGATCTTCTCTGCATGTTGGGACATTTCAGAATAGAATCTTTGAGCCAAAACCGGTTTGGCTCAGTGGATAGTGTCGGCCTGCGGACTGAAAGGTCCCAGGTTCAATTCTGGTCAATGGCATGTACGGTGGTTGCAGGCACATCCCCAGTAAGGGGTGTGCAAGAGGCAGCTGATCAATGATTCTCTCTCATCAATGTTTCTAACTCTCTATCCCTCTCTCTTCCTCTCTGTAAAAAAAAATCTTTGAAAACATTTGAATGCTCATCCCTTTGTAACTGATAGCAATTTCCCTGCCTTAGTGATTCATGAAATAAGGGTACCATCACAAGTACAATGGTAGGCGGTCATTATAAAAGGTAATAATTTTGTGGCTCCCAGTCTTCATTTCTGAGGGTCCCTTGCAGTTAGGTTGGGCCATGTGACTAGTGTGGGCTCACCACCTGTAAGCAGAAGTGACGGAGACATCGCCTGTAGCCAAGGAAAGGAACAGCTAGAAGGCCTCATCACTCTCTTCGCCACTGCAGTGACCACAGAGGCCCTGAGCCAAAGAAGCAGGGACCCCCAACTCTCCTACCGGCTACCTAGACGGGTTGTCCCTGCAGCCTGGCCCGGCTGACCATGGTATGGGGCAGGGAAAATTCCCAGCAGGCACTGCTCAGTGGTTGAGCTTTGACCGAGGAACTAGGAGGTCACAGTTAAATTCCTGGTCAGGGCACACGCCTGGGTTGCTGGCTTGGTCCCAAGTGTGGGGCATGCAGGAGGCAACAGATCAATGATTCTCTCTTGTCATTGATGTTTCTATCTCTCTTTCTTCCTTCCTCTTTGAAATCAATAAAAATATCCTATATGATAAAACCCTAATATGCAAATTGACTGAACAGCAGAATGACCTGTGAAATGACTGGTGACTATGACGTGCACTGACCACCAGGAGGCAGACGCTCACTGCAAGAGCTGCCCCTAAGGGAGAGGTGCCCAGTGGCAGGGAGACAGTGCTGGCCAGCAGCTGGGGTGGGGGGCAATACTGGCCAATGGGCAGTGCCAGGCCCCCAGCCAAGGTGGGTGCCAGCAAGGGTCCCCTGATCACCCCACCCACTGGTCGCCTCACAGATTGGCCCTGATTGCTGGCCAGGCCTAGGGACCCTACCCCTATATATTGGGAACAGTCTCTCAGATTAAAAAACCAAGATGATGCAGTGATGACATGCATGGACTCTGGCTTACACAATTTGTGGTCAGCCCTGATTCTGATACTTTTAACTGTGTGGTAAAGCCAATTATTATACTTAACTTCTCTCTGCTTCAGTTTTTTCACCCAGAAGATGGGAAAATGGCACTACTGCCTCCGAAGGATCATGTTATATACTACTTTTCATAATCAGGCAAAAAAATGTAGCTGCCCACACAACAGCAGATGCCTTTCACCTGGATGCTAGGTGCAAGAAGGAAGGAGGGAGGGAGATAGAAACTTCGACTGATTGCCTCCCAATGGTCACTGGTGCATGCAGAGTCCCTGATTGAGAGAGGGATGTCCAGCAGTTGGACATCCCCCAGGGCACAGGTCAGGCTGAAGGACCCCTGCCTCCACACCCCCTGCACAAGTTTCATGCACTGGGCCTCTAGTATATGTGTGTGTGTGTATATATATATATGGCTAATATGCTAAGTGTCCGATCATCCGACATCACATAGCAATGCCCGGCTTCCTCTCCCTAGCAACCAGCCTCCTTGGAGTTTCTTCAGCCCAGAAATACAACTTGCTTTATAGCCAGGTGGAAACATTTTACACTGTAACCAAATGCCTGTGAAGCGTTTCCCTATGCCTCATCTCATTTGATCCTCACAGAAGTCCTGGAGTAGGTAAATGGGAAACTCAGTGGAATCCTATTTTCTTTTCATTAGCGGAAAATGGAGATTTAGACAGTTTAGTAACTTGACCCAACTGAAAAGAAGAAATGGTGGATCTTGAAAATGACTTCAGGTTTCCTCACTGCGTAGAATATAGTCAAACACTGAACACTGCTGCAGTTAAATATTTTACCCTTTGTTCTCCCTGCATGATCTACAATAATCTGCTTTGTGTTCATATTTACTGATGTGTTGCTGACACTTACCTGAAAGAGAAATTAGGGTGCTTCATTGGGCTGGAAAAAGTTTGGCTAAATCAGAAAGCACGTCTAATTAAGCAAATTGATTCTATATTTAGAAAAGGCTAAGTTGGCTCCTACATGCCTGATACACTCGCACCAATCACAGGCAGTGTTTCCATTTGTTGTTGTGGATCGTGAATTTGGTTGTCACTTCCCTTATAAAGAAAAGGCAAATAGTGATATTAAAATAGTTCTTCTAGCCGGAACCGGTTTGGCTCAGGGGATAGAGTGTCGGCCTGCAACTGGAGTCCCAGGTTCCATTCCGGTCAAGGGCATGTGCCCTGGTTGCAGGCAAACCCCCGGTTGGGGGTGTGCGGGAGGCGGCTGATGGAAGTTTCTCTCTCATCGATGTTTCTAACTCTCTATCCCTATCCCTTCCTCTCTGTAAAAAATCAATAAAATATATATTTTTTAAAATAGTTCTAATTAATTCCTTTTCAATGTACACGAATTAGTGCGCCGGACCACCAGTATTTTAATAAAATAAACACCTAAAAACTAAAATATCTGACAAGTTAGTTACTGTCTCAGCTCCAAACTCCTTCCTCGCTCTGCTGTGACACCGGGGGCCTCATAACGCGTCCTGGCTGATTTCGGCGCCTGGGGCTGCGCAGAAACACTGGAGGGCGCGGACCAGGAGGCCAGAGCAGGCCGTGGGGCAAAGACGGCCCCGGGCAGGCGCGAACCCGGGCCGGGCAGCTCTGCAGGGCCCAGGGAGCAGATGTGGTGCAGACCCTTACCGCTGGACTCCGTGTCAGGTGGAAAGGGAGCGTTCAGCCGAGGCCCCAGCGCGCGTCCGAACCGTCTTCCCGGGTCCCACACAAACCCGCCGGAAGTCCCGCCTCAGCGTCCCGGGCCGCTCTAGCCCGGGCGGGCCCATCTCGCTGGTGGGCTCAGCGCCCTTCTGCTGCATTGCGCTCCTCCGGCCTCTAGGAGGCAGCGAGACCACGGAAAGGCCTCTCTGGCCCACGACCGCCGCTCGACTGCTCCGAGGCGCGCTCCCGACCTGCACCGCGGCCGCAGCCTCCCGGCAGTTACCCGGCAACGCCTGCCGGCCGTTTCCCCGGCAACGCGCTGCCGGCCTCTGCAGTCTCCGCGATGGATGCGCAGGCGGGCGCCTGGCCCCGCGGGCCTCGCGGCCGGCTCGGCGCGCCGCCCTCGGGGGCGCAGGCTCCGGCGACGCCCTGGGCGCGCTTCTCGGCCTGGCTGGAGTGCGTGTGCGTGGTCACCTTCGACCTGGAGCTGGGACAGGCGCTGGAGGTGAGCGCGGGATGGAGGGCGGTGGTCGCGCGGCCGCGAGCCCTCTGCGCGTGGGGTGCCGTCGGGCAGACACCCGCCGGCCTGTCCCCCCCGAGACTCTGTGCTGTCACTTCCTGGAAGAGGCGCGCTCCAGCCGAGGAACGAGAGGCAGACTCCCCCCTGGGATGGAGGAGAGAGGGGCGGTCCCTGCGCTGTGGATAACCCAAGCGATGCCCTTGACTTTTCCTCAAGAAAAACCAACCTTGTTTCCTCCTTCCCCGTGGTGGCTGCGGCACCTTCTCCCCTCCTTTGCTCCAGCCAGAATCCCAGGGGTCACCCCGGCCTCCTCCCATCCCCGCCTCTCCCCTCCCTCCCCCCCAACACACACACACATCCCATGGGCAGCGGAGGCTGACACTTCCGCTGGCAACAAGCATCTCAGATCATCTTACACCCACCCCGCTGCGGTGACCCCCTCCTTTGTGGCTATTCTGCTTAAACCCTCCCGCACCACTTCGTTCACTTAGAATCAGATCCAGACCCTGTGGGTCCTATTCCAGCCTGCTGCACCTCGCTGGGGCCTGGGGCACCTCTCCCCGCGCCTTTCCAACCCCCCCCCCCCCCCAACAGCTTCTCCTCCTCTGGGTGTCTGGTGTAGGTGGAAATGTGGTAGAGGCCTTCCGAAGGGCTGTCAGGATGGTCCCCACACCCTGCAGGCCAGAAAGCTAGCCGGTACAGGGGAGGCTGGAACAGACCTCACCATACCCTCCAGAACCTCATGGGAGGGGAAGGGCAGGGCAGCTGGCCAGGAGGAGGCTGGCTGCACACCCATGCTGGAAAGCCGATGGGGATGAGGGATGTTTTGATTTGAGGCCTTGCTGAACCCCACAAGGCTGTGGGAAACCAGGGTCTTTGACACGGAAAGGGCTGACGCTCAGTGAGGGCCCCAGCTCTGTGCAAACCCCGTGCACCAGACCATCCTCACCAGGCGTGCAGTGTTGTGTCAGTGCAGCTCTTGGAGGGGCCCGAGCATTGAGCAAGTCACTTCACCGCAGAATGTGGGCTCTGTGGTGAGGTGATTTGCCCAACATCACAGAGCCCACGTTCTTACCGCTGACCAAATTGTTCCCCATAAAATCACGAGAAGTCCTGGCTGAGGAGCTCAGTTGGTTAGAGTCCTGTCTGGATACACCAAGGTTACAGGTTCAATTGTGTGGGAGGCAACCTATAGATGTTTCTTTAAAACACACACACACACACACACACATTTTATTGATTTTTCTTTTTACAGAGAGGAAGGGAGAGGGATCTCTATGGCCAGCTGCCCTGCCCTTCCCCTCCCATGAGGTCCCAGAGGGTGTGGTGAGGTCTGTTCCAGCCTCCCCTGTACCGGCCAGCTTTCTGGCCTGCAGGGTGTGAACTAGAAACATTGATGAGAGAGAAACATTGAACAGCTGCCTCCTGCACACCCCCTGTTGGGGATGTGCCCACAACCAAGGTACATGCACTTGACCAGAATTGAACCTGGGACCCCTAAACCAGCAGTCGGACATCTCTCTCACAATCCTAGACCCCTGGCTCCTAATTGCTCACCTGCCTGCTTGCTTGGTCACCCCTAACTGCCTCCCGCTGCCAGCCAGGTCGCCCTAACTGCCCCCTCCCTGCTGCCTTGGTCGCTCCTAACTGCCCCCCCTGGCCTGGTCACCCCTTACTGGGGCCCCTTCTCCCCCCCGCTGGCTTAGTCACCCCATACAGTCTGCTTGTTCAGTCATTTGGTCATCCCTCACTAACCCCCCTGCCAACCTGGTCATAGGCAGCTATCTTGTGAGGGTGTGGGGGTCAATTTGAATATTAACTCTTTATTATATAGGATTTTTTAAATTGATTTCAGAAAGGAAGGGAGAGGGAGAGAGAGATTGAAACATCAGTGATGAGAGAGAATCATTGATCAGCTGCCTCCTGCACACCCCACACTAGGGATCGAGCTTATAGCCTGGGCATAAGAGTGCCCTGACCAGGAATCAAACTGTGACCTCTTGGTTCATAGGTCGATGCTCAACCACTGAGCCACACCAGCTGGGCTCACATCAATGTTTCTTTATCTCTCTCTCCCTCTCCCTTTCTCTCTCTCTCAAATCAGTAAAAGCATCTCCTCAGGTAAGGATTAAAATAATAATAAAATACAAGAGCAGGCCCTGGCCAGTTAGCTCATTGGGTCATCTGGATACACCAAGGTTACAGGTTCCATCCAGGCCAGGGCACGTGCAAGAATCAGCCAATGAATGTATACAAATGGAGCAACAAATTGGTGTGTGTTTTTTCTCCTTCTCCCTTCTTATTGCTCTAAAATCAATTAAAAAATTTAAATCACAAGAGAAGTTAAGAGATATTTTGTTTCCTTACAGCATTTTCATGTCTAGTTTTCTAGAATGTAACCATTTAGAAAGTGACTTTTAAACAGCTCTGTGTGCTTGGGTTTCTGAGCAGCTGACGAGGCTGCACAGTCAGGGAGGGGGCGCTGGGAACCCAGGGTCCCCCGGAATCGTCAGGTCAGTGCAGAGACCCTGCCGGGGGTCCAGTGAACAGTGCTACCTCCCCTCCACCCCAGAGTGCAGCCTGTCTCCCAGGTCACTCAGAGCCGGTCATTAGTATCTGGGTTTTCGTTGACCATCCATTCTCAAGGGTGTGTGACTTGTCTAGTTGGGCACACTCACTGGACCCTGGAGCCAGGGCACACTCCTGGAGCTCACACTTGGGGCGGGACACAGGTCAGAAGCTCCCGGAACCCTGACTAGTGGGGGACAGGGAAGCCACTGTGTCCGGTGACATCTGTGTGGAGAAGACGAGGGGCCTGGTGGCCTGGTCTGAGGGCTCCTGGGGAAAGGCATAGCCCAAGGCCCGACTGGTGGGATGGGGTCCCGGAAGTGGGAGGGCGGGGAAAGCAGGGCCAGCCGGGACCACTCCAGGCGGTGGAGGCCATGGGCGGGACCTGAAGCACCTCTGGAAGCAGAGGGGACAGAGGGCCGGTGCTGGAGTCAGGGAGACCCACGCACAGCCTGGGCAAGTGGCCTCGAAGGCCAGGGGTGCAGGCAGGGAGCTGGGGAGCTTGCCCAGGCGTGTGCTGGCCAGGTGAGTGAGGAGAGTCCGGAGGGCCTGGTGCTGAGAGGCCTGGGGGCCGAGTTAGGAGAGGCAGACGGGTGGGAGCCGAGGAGGCTGTGCGCTCGGAGGGTGGAGAGGAGCACGAGGCAGTGCAGGCCCGCAGCCTCACCAAGTGCTCTGGCCCCGCAGCTGGTGTACCCCAGCGACTCCCGGCTCACGGACAAGGAGGTGGGTCCCACCCGCTGGGGAGCAGACGGCGCCCAGGAGCGAGCCAGCCCTCACCGGGTTTCCTGTGTTTCAGAAAAGCAGCATCTGCTACCTGTCCTTTCCCGACTCCCACTCAGGTAGGCAACTCCGACAGCCTCCCGCTCTGAGCTGGGGCGAGAGGAAGAGGAAGAGGGAGGGGAGGGGAGGTCATGGGGAGCCCTGGGGCCGAGGCCGAGCCCAGCACAGCCCAGAAGCGCTCTGTGGAGACACCCCAGCCCACGATGCAGCAGAGGCAGCAGGTTCCCGTATTTGTGCAGGAAGAGGGCCCAGTGGGGTCTGGTCTCCTGCACCCACCAGGAGCTGCTCTGCTCCTCCCCTGCACCCCGGGATGGCAGGCTGAGCTGGCCACACGGCCTCTCCCGACTTCCCCTGTGCTCCTGCTGCCCCTGTGTCTGGGTCCGGACTTGACTCTGACATTCGGTGAGGAGTTAGGACACGGGCTTCCGCTCGGAGAGCCGGTCCCAGCAGCAGGGCTTTCTCTCTGGGGCCTCCGTAGTCCATCAGCATTCACTCACATGGCTCCCGTCCCTGCTGTCCCCACCCCCACGTGGTGGCGGGAGGGTCTCCAGCCCTGACACGGAGAGGGCTGCCCGCTCCCCAGGCTGCCTCGGGGACACGCAGTTCAGCTTCCGGATTCGTCAGTGTGGAGGGCGGAGGAGCCCCCGGCCCGCCGAGGACAGGCAATATGACAGCGAGGCCCCCGTGTCACTGCAGGTGAGGGCCCGCCTTTCCGGCTGCCGCGTCCCACGGCCCGGCTCAGGCTGGCCGGCAGCCCTCCCAGGCGCCTCGCCTGAGGGGCAGGAGGGCGCCGGCCAGCCCCAGCCCACACGGAGCTCTCCCTGTGCACTGCGAGCGGCAGGTGTGGCTGTGGGCAGCGGCCTGGCTGCTCCTCGGGTCTGCACAGATACTCTGAGTGGAGGGCCTGCAGACCTGCCCCCAGGACCAGGGAGAGCAAGGCGCCACCTGCAGAGCGGTCTGGGTGGGCAGGAGCCGTGGCGCCACCTGGTGACTGCTCCTTCCAGAGGGAGTCCGCACACTACTTCGGCTATGTGTACTTCAGGCAGGTGAAGGACAGCTCCGTGAAGAGGGGCTACTTCCAGAAGGTGAGCCCCAAGGCCCCTCTGAGTGGCACCACTGAGAGACAGGGCCCGCGGCCCTGGGAGGGGCTGAGGGCAGGGGTACCCGGGCAGCAGGCAAGGGGTGAGGGTGCTGCCCACTCCACCCTTGCCGCAGCCCCTCCCTCACCCAGCACAGCACCTGGGCCCCAGACACCCTGCTTCTCACTCTGAGGATCAGGATTTGAACTTCAGCCTTGAGCTCAGACGCCCAGAGAAGCCTCGGCCACATGCATTTCCTCCGAAGGCCCAGGGTCCAGCCCACCCACGTGTCCTGGGGGTTCCCCTTCCTGTCTGGGGGAGGCTCTGGTTTCCCAGCATGACCTGGGGCCCGGGTTGGCCATCCTGGGACAGTGTCCGTGGAGCTGGTGGAGGCACGGCCCTGGGTGACTCGGGAAGAGCCAGGCCAGGGCCCTGCAGCCTCCCCCTGGCTGGCGGCCTCTCCCCGCCAGCTGGGTGACATCCCCCGGCCCATGGCCCGCAGTCTCTGGTGCTGGTGTCCCGCCTGCCCTTCATCCGGCTGTTCCAGGCGCTGCTGAGCCTGATCGCCCCCGAGTACTTTGACAAGCTGGCGCCCTGCCTGGAAGCAGGTGAGTGGTCAGCCAGAGCCTCATCGTCCAGCTGGGGGGCCCAGTGGCCTTGGCAGGCCGCTCCCACAGGGCAGGCTCCTGACCCTGGCCCCCTGGACTACAGTGTGCAGTGAGATTGACCAGTGGCCGGCCCCGTTGCCTGGGCTGACCCTGAACCTGCCAGTCGTGGGCGTCGTCCTGCAGGTAAGGGTGGCCGGCTGGGCGGGAAGGTGCCCCGGGCATGGAGGTGCCACTGTTGGCTGGCAGCTGCTGCCTCCACCCCCAGGTACACATCCCATCCAGAGTGGACAAGCCTGAATCCAGTCCGCTGCAGCAGTGTGGCCAAGAGGTGGGCCCCTCCTGGGCTAGTGGCACTGGACCTGCCTGGGCCCCCCACCCTCCGCTGGGAGCCCTGTGGGATGGCCAGACACCAGGCAGAGCCAGAGGGTGCGGGCTGGGTGGCCCGCCCCCCATGGTGGGAGGTGTGTGGGCAGGGGCCACGGTCCCCACGGCTCTCCTGGGTGGGGTGCTGCTTGGGGCTCAATGGTGGTTGTCACCCTCTACCTGATACCACCCACCCTCCCTCAGAACCTGCTGCCGGCCCCACTGGTGCTCTCCAGTGTCCACGAGCTGGACCTGTGCAGGTGAGCCCTTCAGCCGCTGCTCGCTGCTCACAGACCGTGAGGGAGCCCTCAAGCCGGTCGTGGGCAGGCGGGGCCGCGGGGCTCTGCCCCAGGGACGGACCCTCGCCGGTCTGTGAGGGAGAAGACCCGGTGCTGTCTGCACCAAGGCCACGGCCCGGAGCGGAGAGTTCCAGCGGCCAGGCACCCGGGGAGAAGGAGGGCGGGCGGGCTCCTGGGTGGGAGGCGGTCGCTGCCTGCCCCTCTCCCTGAGGCGCTGAGGGAGGGGTCCTGCCCGGCTGGGCCTGCAGGACCAGGCTGCTGGCTCTGCATGGGGTGCAGGTGCAGGCCCAGTGGGTGGCTGTCAGCATCCATGGGTCCTGCACTTTCTCAGGGTCTCCAAACCATCTCCCCACCCACCGGGCGGGCTCACCAGGGGAGAGAGAAGGGAGGGGCGGAAAGGGCCCCTACCTGGGGGAGCCCTGCCTTTGCCCAGCGTCCCCCGGGGTCCCCCCGGCCCCCGCCCAGGTGCTTGCAGCCTGTGCTGAGCCATGTGCAGACGCTGTGGGAGCTCATGCTCCTCGGGGAGCCCCTGGTGGTGCTGGCGCCCTCGCCCGCCGTGTCCTCGGAGATGGTGCTGGCCTTGACCAGGTAGGCCAGTGCGCTGGGAGGCGTGGAGTCGGGGCACGGCCTGCTCAGCTGTGCTCACGGGCCTGCTGTGCCACCCCCACCCTCCCCCGAAGCTGCCTGCAGCCCCTCAAGTTCTGCTGCGACTATCGCCCATACTTCACCATCCACGACAGCGAGTTCAAGGAGTTCACCACCCGCACGCAGGCCCCGTGAGTGCCCCCTCTGTCCACCCACCCGCAGGCCCCTCCCAAGCCTGCTGCTGCTTCCTCCTCCCTCTCTCTCTCCCTCCTCTCTCTAGACCTAACGTGGTCCTGGGGGTCACAAACCCTTTCTTCATCAAAACGCTCCAGCACTGGCCCCACATCCTCCGTGTCGGGGAGCCCAGGATGTCAGGTGGGTGAGGCAGCCTGGCCTGTGTGGGGCCTGGGGAGGCTCACCCCGGAGGGCCTGGGGTCTGAGCCTGGCCCCGAGCGGCCGTCAGCGTTCTCTCCTCGCAGGAGGCCTTCCCAAGCAGGTCAAGCTGAAAAAACCCTCGAGGCTGAAGACCCTCGACACCAAACCAGGTGTGTGCCCCAGACGGGCCCTTCCTGTCCCCCAGGACCCCGGCATCCTGGGGACCCCGGCATCCTGGGGACCCCGGCGTGGGCTCTGCGCCCTAGGGGGCGGGGGGCAGGGCAGGAGTGCGGCATCCCCGAAGGGGCAGCGGGGGGGCGGGAGGGAGCCCGGGACAGGACCCGCCTCCTCCCCAGGCCTCTACACCGCCTACACGGCGCACCTGCGCCGGGACAAGGCGCTGCTCCGGCGGCTGCTGCGGGGGCTGCAGAAGAAGCGGCCTGCGGGTGTGCTGACCGCGCTGCTGAGGCGGCACCTCCGGGAGCTCACGCAGAGCTTCATCATCCCCCTGGTGAGGCCGGAGCGGGCGGGGACCCCGAGACCCAGACCGAGGCCCAGGCAGGGACCCTGAGACCCAGGCTGAGGCCGGGGCAGGGACCCTGAGACCCCAGGCTGAGGCCGGGGCAGGGACCCTGAGACCCCGGGCTGAGGCCCAGGGCGGGCGGGCAGGCGGGGACCCCGAGACCCAGGCGGGCGGGGTGGGGACCCTGATACCCCAGGCTGAGGCCGGGGCAGGGACCCTGAGACCCAGGCTGAGGCCGGGGCAGGGACCCTGATACCCCAGGCTGAGGCCGGAGCTGGGACCCTGATACCCCAGGCTGAGGCCCAGGGCGGGGACCCCCGAAACCCAGGCCGAGGCCCAGGGCAGAGGCCCAGGACAGGTGGGCGGGCAGAAGGGGGGGCTGGAGACCCAGGCTGAGGCCTGGGGCCGGGGGCCGGGATGGGGACCCGGAGACTCAGGCTGAGGCGCAGGTCACTCCCCCATAGGAGCACTACATGGCCAGCCTCATGCCCCTGCGGAAGAGCATCACGCCCTGGAAGGTGGGGTTCGGGTCCGGGTGGCAGTCTGGGCGAGGCTGGGAGGGGGTTCCTTCCTGATTCGGGGGGTGGGTGTCTGGGGGCAGAGGTGGGAGGAGGTCATGGTGCTGGAGTCCCCAGGCTCCGGACCGTCCCCACACCTACCACTGCCCCTACAGGACGGAGCACTGGGGCCCGCAGAAGGGTCTGTCCCAGTAGGAGGGAGTCAGGCGTTGTCCCCAGGAGGGTCCTGTTCCCCCCCTCCCCGCACCAGGGCTCACCTGGCCCTGTCTCAGACCCCTCCCCAGGTCCGTCCCTTCCACCAGGAGGACTTCCTGTGCAGCCTGGAGCAGGCGGGGCCCCAGCTGACCTGCATCCTCAAGGGCGACTGGTTGGGTCTCTACAGGTGGGTGACGCCCGTGCAGGGCCCAGGCTCCTGCTGCTGGTGGTACAGGGTGCCCATGCTCAGCCCGTGACCCCGTGACCCCGTGACCCCGTGACGGGTCAGACCACGGCCGCTGCCTCTCCCACAGGCGGTTCTTCAAGTCCCCCCACTTCGACGGCTGGTACCGGCAGCGGCGCAAGGAGATGGCCCGTCAGCTGGAGGCCCTGCACCTGGAGGCCATTTGTGAGGCGGTGAGGGGGGCTGGGGAGGACTGGGGGTACTGAGGGGGCTGGAGGGCTGGGGGGGCTGGGGGCCCTGGGGACCCTGGGGTAGTGGGGCTGGGGGTGCTGGGGGGACTGGAGGAGTGGGGCCCTGGGGCGGGGGGACTGGGGAGGCTGGGGGCCCTGAGGTGGGGGGGCTGGGGTTGGGGAGGGCTGTGGTGATGGGTGGCCCCACCTTTTCATGGCAGAACATCGAGACCTGGATGAAGGGCAAGTCCGAGGTGGAGGTCGTGGACCTGGTCCTGAAACTTCAGGAGAAGCTGGTGAGAAGCCTGCCCCGCTCGGGCCCGGGACCCGAGGCCGCTCTCCCTGACCAGCGCTGCCCCCACAGGTGCGGGCACAGGGCCACCGGCTCCCGGTGACAGAGAAGACACTGCAGCAGGCCCGGCTGAACATCGAGACGGCCATTGGCTCCCTGCCCAAGGGTCTGCAGGCCGCCCTGTGCCCTCCCTAGGACAGGCCGGGGGTGTGGTCAGGAGCTTCGTGCCAGGGGGCCCGGATCTGGCTGAGCTTCCTTCTCTCCAGCGAGGGCTGCCCAGCCAAGCGTGAGCTCTGACCAGGCTCCTGCTGCCCCCCCAGTCCTGGCCCCTGCCCAGCACCTCCGTCCCATCAGTAAAGGGCATTTGGAGCTGCGGCCCAGGTCCTGCCTGTTGAGGATCATGTGTTGGCTGGAGCCTCCCCTCCCCTGGCGCCCCACCTGCCCTCCGCGGGGCTGCCCGCTGGAGGCGGGGCTGGCTGTGAGCCCTTGCTGCTTTGGGCCTGGGGCCATTCCCCCGCCAGGCACCCATCTGCCAGTCCTGGAAGGCCCCATGCAAGGCTCATGCGCTGCATTTGATGTGTCCTTCAGCCCCACCGGGCTGCCCAGCCCAGGACAGGAAAAGGCAGCTGACAGCAGGCCCTCTCCTCACAGGGCCCACCCACCAACCCACTTACTAGGCCTGGGGTCACCTCACCAACTGTCCTTGGCTTGGGAGGGATGGGGAGTTTGGCCTCATGTTTGCTGGTTTCTTGAGAGGCCACTAGGGGGCAGTGTGGGACCCAGCCATGGGCTTCCCACCCTCCAGGAATTGTCCCAGGTTTTGTCCCTGGAGCACCCCTTCTCTCCCCTCTCTTCCCCCCCTCCCCCCCCAGTGGCTACAGCTGACAGGCACTGGAGTTACCCCGGGTCCATCTACCCTGTGTGCAGTCTGAGCGGCTTACCTGCCCCCCCTGCCCCGCCCCAGTCCGAGCCTCCACAGACACAGCCGCTGGGGTACCAGCTCCTAGAGGTACCCCAGCCAGGCCCAGTGAGAGCAGGGTCAGCTGGGGGAAGGGCCAGAGCGGTGGGCCTGTGGTAAGTCTCCCCCTCTGACCCCTCACCCGGGGAGCTCTGCCAGGCGCATGGGGCTCAGCGCCTCCTCCAGGCGGTCCTGGCGGTGAGCGATCCTGGCATTGAGTGGCCCTGGCAGTGAGCAGCTGCAGGCTGGTGGGGTTCCTGTCCCTCCTGAAGCCCCTCTCAGTCCTGTCCCTGGAGGGCGGGCATCCCCTCCCAGGCAGATGGCAGCATGCTGGTCTGAGCATCTGTCAGCCTCTGGCCCAGACCGAAGCCTGGGACAGGCTCACTCTCCTGGGTCTCAGCGCTGAGCCGGAACCAGCAGAGGCAGTGCCTGCCTTTGAGCGGAACACGCTGGAGGCTCTCACATGAGAAAGGTTCCACATTGACCTCAGATGCCACTCAGCGCCTGCCCTCTTCCCAGCTAATGCCAACTTCTACCCTAGCCCTACTTCTGCCGGCTGGAGACAGTGCCAGGCCTGGGCCTCACTGTAACCTGGCGGGGGATGCAGGCCAAAGAGGAAGGGGAAGATGGGTCAGAAGAAGCAGAACCCTTCCCTGCCCCCACCCCCTGCAGGAGAGCCGGAGGGCAGAAAGGCCTGGATGGGCCGGAGCCCAGTGTCCTGTCCGAGAGCTGTGGTGGCCACTGCTCCCGCCCGCCGGGGCTGGGAGGCCTGTGCAGGGGCTGGGGGCGGGTGGACACGGCCGTGGCTGCTCCCAGCAGGAAGGAGTGCACCCAAGCTTCCTGCCTCTATTTAAAGACTCCTTTAGTCTGGCATAGTGGCCTTCCCACATTTTTGGGATTAAAATGTCCTGTGACCACACTGCTTGTGTTTTAACTTCCTTTTTTTAAGATAAAAAGTTGGCATCTGTCGGACACGGGTGATGTTGGGGTTTCCTGCGTGGGGGAGTGGCATGGTATGGATGTGGTTGGGCTGAAGGGGGTGGAAGGGCAGCGAGATGCTGAAAGGAGGGACACCCTCCTATACTCTGGGGGGCAGGTCCAAGGGTGGGGAGCACCCAGAGAGGAGGTGCCTGAGAGGGCAGACTGTCTACAGGAGGGGACACGTCGGGGTGGGGGCACCCCAGAGTGAGGGTGCGGGTTAGGGCTTGGGGAACGGCGCTAACCATCCCTGGGCCCGGACAGTGGCCCCCATGCCTGTCCACAGTGGCTCCCATGCCTGTCGGGGGCCGGGCTAGAGGTTGCCGCAGGCACAGGGGGGCCGGCCGCCTCCCTGCAGAGCTGGGATGGGGGGCGGGAGGCTCTGCACTGCAGGGCCAGCGGGGGTCCATGTGAAGCCCCAGGGCCCGCGGGCTTGGAGCGGGCAGCTGGGGGTCCGGTCCGAGACCCCAGGGCCCGGTGCGGGCAGCTGAGGCCACAGGTAGTTTCCAAGGAGACTCCCAGGCGCCTTTCCCCCAGAAAGTGGGTGCTGAGGTCCTAGGAGCGGGGTCAGGCCCTGAGCCTCCGCCCGGGGAAGGCTGGGGAGGAGTGGGGGGGTGGATGATCCTGGGACTTCGCTCCTGTGACCTGGGCACTCGTTGCCCGAACCTGGGCCAGAACCGGGCTGAACCTGCCCGGCGCCCTGATGCACACTGGGGTCCCCTCCCTCCCCTCCCTGACTTCTCTCCCCTCCCCATCCCTCCCCTCCCATGCCCTCCTCCCCCTTCCTTGCCTTCCCTCTCTTCCCTCCCTCCCCTTCCCCTCCACGCCTCTCCTCCCCTCCCTGCCTCCCTCCCTGCCCCTCCCCTCACTCTCCTGCCCTACCTCCTCCCCCTCCCCTCCCTCCTCATTCTGCCCCTCCCCTCCCCCCTCCCCGCCCCTCCCTCTCCTCCCCTGCCTCCCCTTCTCCCCCTCCTACCTCCCCTCCCCTCCCCGCCCCTCCCCTCCCCCCTCCCCCTCCCCGGGGGCGGGGCCGCTGCTCCCGCGCTCCGGCCCCTCCTCGGCCACACAAAGGCCGGTCTCCATGGCAGCCGCGCGGGCCGGGGAGCAGCGCCGAACGCGGCCCGGGCGCCATCGAGTGCGGGCGGCGGACGAGCAGGTACGGAACGGGGTGCGGGCCGCGGGGCGAGCGGGGCGGGGGCCCGAGCGCTGAGCCCCGCCCGGCTGCTCCGCGCGGGCCCGGCAGCGCCGCTCCGCGGAGGCGCCCGTCGCGCCGGACCGGGCCCGGGGCTCCCGGCGGCGGGGAGGCGGCGGCCGGGCCGGGTCCCGCTCAGCCCGGGACCCGCGGGGCGCAGCGCCCCCTCCGGCCGGCGCCCCCGCTCCGGGTCCGGGTCCGAGCCTCCCTCCCTCCCTCCCGGCCCGGGCACAGGCCGCCCCCGCGCCCAGCCTTGTTTCGGGGTGCACGCCGGCTCCTCCAGCGCCGAGGCCTCCGGGGCCCGGGAGGAGGACTTGGGCCGGGCCGGGCCGGCCGGGCTGGAAGGGGCGCAGGGTCCGAGTTGGGGCCGGCGGCCCGCGCTGCTGCTGGGGGACAGCTCCTGGCGAGGCTGTTGGTGAGGGGCCGGGCGAACACCCCGGGCCCAGGAAGTCTCAGAACCGGGGTCCGGCGCCCCCACTTGGCCCTGCCGCTCTGCGCCTCCTCCTGTGGGGACCCCCCCCCCTCAGCCCACACCCCAGAGCCCCTCCACGCTCCTGTCTGGGCTCCTCTTCCAGCCGCGCGGAGTGGACAGCAGCTCCGTCTGCGCCGCCGTGGCCTGGGTGCGGGTCAGGACCCGGGAGGCTGGGCCTCCAAGCTGGTGGAATGTTCCAGAGCGGGGGGCTCTCCAGGGAGCTCCCCTTTCACGTCTAACTTCAGCCTCTGCTCCCGCCCCCCGCCCATCCCAGGAGGAGAGTGGGAGAGCAGGGCGAGCAGCCCGGAGGTGGGGCTTTCGGCCCCCCCACCCAGATGCCACCCTGGGTGGAGGGCAGAGCGCGGGCCTGAGGGGGGGCCGGCCCGAGGGGCTGGGCCGCTTCTGCCCAGGGTCCCAGGAGGGTGTGTCGGCGTCCCGGGTGGCCGCGGTATTTTTGGGGTGACAGGGCTCAGGAATCCCCAGAGAAGATTGAGCACCAGCAGGTGGGCTCCGGCCTCCTCCTCCTCCTCCCCTCGCACCCCCGGGCCCGGCCGGAGCCGCCGAGGGTGGCAGGAAGCCTGAGGTCTGGCCGGGGCTCCTCACCCAGGAGGGAGGGAAGTTGCCGAGAAAAACAGCGTTTGGAATTCCAGCCCCCCGCCCCCGCCGGCCGCCTGCCAAGAAGGAATATTTTGGATTATCCAGCCGTGTCCAGCCACCCAAGGGGGAGGCCGCAGCCTGGGAGAGGGATCCACTTCCGGGGCTGCGGGTCGCGCCCCGGGAGGAAGAGCCGGGCTAGTCCGGGCAGCTCCCCTCCCCCTCCCCCAGGCAGCTCCGGCTGCTCCGACCGGTCATGGGGGGCGGGGTGGGAGGGGATGCGTCACCCTCAGATGGAGAACGCCCAAGGGTGGCCCCAGCAGGCTCGCCGAGGCCGCCTTGGGGAGGCCATGGGGCTGGAGGAGCCCCGAGCCCCATCCAGGGGGCCCAGCCCAGCCCAGCCCAGGACCCTTCCTCCCCGAGGCCCTGGGACCACGAACCGCCTGGAGCTGGGCTCCGCCTGGAGCTGGGCTCGGGGACAGCCTGGGCCGGGTGCTCACACCCTGAGCTTCCCAGAGCAGATGGGTGCAGGTGTGGGTATGACTGAGGCAGCCTAGGGTGGGGCATGGGGTCTCCCAGAGGCTGAAGCCGAGGCCACCCACCTGCCCCCTCACTGACCCTCAGGGAGAAGTTGACACACAGCCTCCCTGCAATCCCCCCCTCCCCCCACCCCCCACCCCCGCCAAGGCCCAGCTCTGGCCCCCATCATGTCCCCCGCCAGCCTGTCCCACAGGTGAGGCCCTGAGGTCGCTGCTGGGTGGCAGCCAGGTGGGCTGCCTGGGTTCTCGCCGTGTGTGTGTGTGTGTGTGTGTGTGTGTGTGTGTGTCCCCAGAGCCAGTCTCACCGTGTGTGTGTGTGTGTGTGTGTGTGTGTCCAGAGCCAGTCTCACCGTGTGTGTGTGTGTGTGTGTGTGTGTGTGTCCAGAGCCAGCTCCCAGCAGCTCGTGCAGGGACCTCATGGCAGAGGCAGAGCCAGCAGCTGGGAGAGCGCAGGAAGCCGGG